AAAAAAAAAAAACAATAATTACAACAAAGAAATTTCATTTTTATTTATAAAAATAACCAAAAACTCAATAACTCACTAATAAGTAAAGCACAGTACTATTTATTACATAATTTTACACAAAACACAAAAGATTAACAAACAAAGAAAATACTTATCTGAATATAACAATATGTAGGTACTCAGAGTCAGATCTAACTGACAGGGGGCAGAGTAACGACACTGTTCACGTCTCAGGAGCAAAAAAAAGGCCCGCACCGGCCGCTCCGCCTCTTTTATATCAAGTAGTAAACAACCTCGTCACTCCACCCCACCTCTGACTACCGATTGTGACGTAACACTGACACTTAATTTTTAAAATACAATAGACACAATTTGTACAAATAATTCTCGGATATTTTTAATCACATTTAAAAGTAATTAACCACCATATTTTCATACGTACTTATCACTTATTTTGATTAATAATTTGGGAACATCTCACACACTCGTGGTCTCACTAATTTCCTTACATTGAACAAATTGACGCATGCATCGCCTCTATCGGATGGATTCGCAATAGGCTCAAAGACTGCTCAACATAATATTTTTATGCAGTTTTCAGTAAGGGATGCTTTATAGAAAGGCTTCATGAGTATATTTGAATACTTCGGTCGAGGCTATGGTGGGAATGTGTAATGTATGTGTTTTTTTTTGTTACGAATTACAAGATTGTAAACAGAATATAAATTCAAGAGCAAATAAATACATCTACACAAGGAACTTACTATAAAAAATTTCTTCTTCAATATTCTCGGTTGTTAATAACCCAATAATCTAGTTCATACGACATTGATCTATTTATGCCTGCATCTATCGTCCATACGTGATAAAATAACGTTGATATATCAATTTATTACGCAGTAAAACAGCGGACGTGTAGGGGCCTGTTTATGTGTCCGTAGTTCCCTACAGCGAGAAATGATGATCTGTGACGTCATAAAGTAAATATTGCTTCGTGTTATATTTATTATTAATTTACCACATCGTCCGTTTCCAATCCAATTGGAGCAAAAACTCGTTAAGCCAATTAGACTAATGTGATGAAATGGAATTGTGTCTTCAAGGACTTGTTTCTATATGACATCTCTTTATCTATGGTATTTGAAATGTCTTTCATTAAAAAAACAGATGTTTTGGTACGCCCTAGTTGGCGCCACTGTCGTTTATAGTCACTATGAGCGATATCAATTTAGTCATCTAAGTAAAAGGTGGACATGGAAATCAATTTATATTTTGAACTTCAACACCCACTTCTACTCTACCTATCCTTGAGTGTTTAAAGAAATAATACCTAACACTTCAATATGTCACAATGTTGATGCAAATTTTAATGCAAACTTCGACTTATCTCCCACACCTGTTTATCTCCCACTATCACGACCCAAGATACAAGACAAGATAAATCTGGACCACTTACAAGAGAATCAGTGGAAACAATATTTACTATGACATTGGACTTCAAAATAAAATTCGGGGAAATGGAATGTGAGGCACAAAAATAAACATGAGATCTATAGTCTGGCCTGTCAGACGTAAACAAAAAACGCATTAACTTTTTTAAGGTATTAGCGCCATTGTTTTTCTTAGAAATTGCGATGACACTTGTTACATACTCAACAGAGTTAAAATAGGTAAAGATTTAGTGCCTACAGCACTGAATATCGTGATTTTTATACATAACAAGTGGAAGAGCCCTGAGCCATGCTTCGAAGATATGAAGCATGCGAATGGGCCGGCTCGACCGAAGTGATACCACGGCCTCACAGAAAACCGACGTGAAACAACGCTTGCGTAGTTTAGTCGTGTTGGTGAGGTTACCCGAGACCCAATTACTGAATTACCACCTCCCCAGTCTTCCCAACAATTAATCCCCAAAAGCCCAGCCTATTGTTTCTGATACAAAATCGCTATCAAGGAATAGTTTAAGTAATCATTAAATGTACTATTTAAATTCCAGACACTCATACAAAATGAAATGCGAAAAAAGTGCAATTATTTCTATTATTGGCAGTGAGATTGGAAAACAATTCGATAGCGACGCTAATTATATTTTTCATAATAAGGATACCATGATAAAACCATTGCTACATGCTGAAACAGTTGCGTCAGTAACATTTAAAATTTTCCTTCCTAAACTCATTAGGTCCCTTTAAAACTAACTGAAGAGGAAAATATATTATCATTGTGAGGAATTCACGTACCTCTGCTCTTATTGACTCTAATGAGAATAAAAATTACTTCAAAGCCCTGATTGACGTTGTCATTAAACGAGAACAGACACTGTAATAGTATAATTATTTTAAATCCGGAATTGCATTGTGCATGCCGCATGAATAAATCTCAATTCTTCACGGATATATTTTTTTATTATATTCTTGAAGCAAGGTTTATAGACTAAAAAAGTGTAAACATTATATTTTTTAAATCATCCGTAAGACTGATTAAACGACAGACATTTGCTTTGATACAAAGCTTGTCCTGGCAATAATAACAACATATGAAAACAAAGAGTTTTTCGTGTAGGTACTCATTCGAAAGATATACGCGGTGAACCATTTTATGGACTATTTACTCAAATATTATAAGTTTAAAACAGACCAAGTGACAGCAGTTAAATCTTAGAAAAACCCAAATAAGAGAACTTAGATTGATTTACACACAAATAAAAACCAAAATCTTAATTACAAGTTCCATTAAACGAATATTGATGGAACTTCCTTAATGAATGACATATTAATAGTGAAAGTCATAGAACAGGTCCTTGATTTGATTAAAGTAAAAGTTACCAAGAACCGAGTACTTGTTCAAAGAAACCTGCTTGCACGACCAGATGAATATTTAACCTAACTTAATACCAACGACCTCGGTTACATTAGCAACCTTACGTCTAGGGAAAGATGGAGTACTCGAGAATGTTGTTCCAAAGAACATTCTAGATTTTCTATATTCTAATTTTTAATAGTACCGAATTGATGATAGTATGGACTCAGGCAAAGTTAGAAAAAGTATTATCGGGTTTCAGCATGATACTTCTATGTATAATTAGCCTGGCTATTAAACCCATCCCATTAACACAGCGAATAATTAATGCAATAGTTAGAATACAATTCAATCGACAATATGAGATAAGATATAGGTAATACTTTTTGTAGTGGGAGAGCCATGCTTCGGCACGAATGGGCCGGCTCGACTGGAGTGATACCACGGCCTCACAGAAAACCGACGTGAAGCAACGCTTGCGTTGTGTTTCGTCGTGTGAGTGAGGTTACCAGAGGCCCAATTACCTTCCCCTTCCCCAATCTCCCCAATCCCTGAATCCCCAACGATCCTCAAACTCCTAATCCCCAAAAAGCCAGTGACGCACTTGTAACGCCTCTGGTGTTCCAGGCGACGCCGATTGCTTACCATCAGGTGATCCGTCTACTCGTTTACCGGCTTATGCCATAAAAAAAAATACCTAAGCTTTCCCAAAGAACCTTTCATTAGGGTATACCCAAACAATAAAATTCGTAAATAATAACCGCTGTAGCTGCTTTAGTTTATGCAACTGATCTGTCAACCTGATTTTGAATTCGACAAAGAATCGCATAAAATGGCAAATTATTATAAAATTTTTACCTGAAACGCAAACACGACGTATCCAGTAAGGTGGGACTCATGCAGCACGTCGTGCATGGACCGCAGCGTGGAGCCGAGGTACACGTTGATCACCTGCGCTGGCAATAGACCCAGCATCGTCGCTAGGTGGTACCCACAACCACCCACGTCACTTACCTTAACAATAGAAACACAAAATTAGATTAACGAGAACTTAAACTCTTCAGTTTTCAGAAATCAAGATTAGACAGTTTCTGTAGATAGAAACTTATTATCCTTACATATTTATAAGGTTCCTCCAATACATCTGTTAGGTATAACAAGCCCGATAACTTAAGAACACTCTGCATCTGACCTTTCTCCAGAACCTTACCAATGAGGTCAGCATATTATTATCTTCTTCACAGTCTTTAGTGTCTGTAGTGTAACCACTGATTTCCCTTTATTGTCTATTTTCTCAACATCCTTAAATGATCTCAAGACTGTCTCTTAAACATTTTTATCTACATATTTATCAAAAATAATACATTAGTCTACGTTTCCTAGGCCTAACTTAAAAGTGTGTCTTCCTTCTGGGAGTTTCCATTAATATTTAATACTTGACCAGATATGGGAGGAATGTTACAGTGCCAGTCACGCATGCAAATCAAATTAATGATCTTTTTATGAGGAGTACACTCTTACATGTCAAGGACAGAAGGCTGGTACTTGCGTAGTACATACTGGGAGTACGGGTAGTACCTGATGATATTGATAGTAATTCCGCCAGTAAAAATATTGGACTTGTTAACTAATAAACAGTAATTTATACGAAACATCCTATTGAATCAAGTTTAAATTCATCCCCTCTGAAAGACAATTCCATTCCCAATAAAATAATTGCCCATTTTCATAAACCCACGGTTCCATGAAATCTTACTACGTCCATACTTTTAGAACAATTTGCGTGCAGTAAATACATTTAACTTATGTTAAACAATGTAGATTTGATACACGTCAATCCTATTACCATTTGTCAGGATTGTAAAGTTGTGTGCGGTTGACGGTAATGTGTACAATTATATTTTAGTGGCTAAGCATTCGCCGAGCGGAGTCACGACATCTAGATTGCTTTGAAAATTAGCACCAAACGTACGGCGGCGCCCGGTAAATTAAACAACAATTTTCACAAACGATACCAACTTTATAATAAACAATTCTACACATGCAAAGCACGCAAAGTCCCAGTAACCTACAAATTCACATCGTGACAGTTATAAGTCAATTGCGTCGTACATAACTAAAACTGCTTTTATATCTAGGTATGACCTTTTAAAACACGAGTGAGACAGGTCTAAGAAGGAAGGCTAATCGATTGTTTTTCCTTAGATAAACAAGTTGACCGATCTACGGTGACCTTGGCAGCGGCGCCGGACGTACGTACGAATGTGTCCAAGTAGGCCAATTACCAACTGTATGAAAGTCAGTGTAGTGGAAAAATTCCTGTAAACACGTCCCGCTTCTCGAACACAACACGAAATGAGTACACAATAAAAAATATACATTATCTCAGTACATAAAATAATGTCAGCCTGACAAAGACGATGGCCTGACGATATTCCGAATGTCTCCAAACAAACGCCTATCTGATATTCAAATGATATTTTTAGATCATTACTGTATCTGCTGTAATGAAATTGGTAACCGTATGTAAATAGTTTTATTGATGTAAACGTTTCCCGAGCTCCGAAACCCGGGTGCCTGGTGTAAGGTATATTTGGCTTGGCCGACACACGTGATGTTTATATTTTTCGCTGCAGCTAGAATGACCGCGAAAATAGTGTAAAAATGTAATGAGATCACTCGAGCAGCTAATATATTGATCATGATGACGTCAGCTTTCTTACTCTACACTCTAGTAGTTTTCTTCGAGTATTTATGAAAACACGTACAGACATACCCGTTTTAGAGATCAATTTAATCAAAGTAACAAAATGACAAATTGATCAGGCATTTCTTACAACTTTGCCGCCCTTTGTCTGAGATGAGAATGACACAAAAACGCGCCAAATATTTTAACGACAGACAGAGACCACACAAAAAGACTGCGCAGATCTATATGTAGGTAGTTTTCAAATAATAAATGTAAATACGTTTGGCGGAGAACCAAGAAAGATGGCGACAAAAGTTTACTGCCCTGCACTAGATAAAAACAGGATTCAGTTAAGATAACAGCAGTTGATATCATCACTGGTTACAACCACTAACAATTTTACAATAGACGCAGAAGATAACAAGATAAAGAGGCTTTGTGAATTACTCATGTCTTTACGGTAGTCCCGGACTTGAAATAAACAATATTGATTGCGAAAATCAATTCATCAAAAATTAAGATAACATATCCGATAAGGATATGTAATTACTGTTGACCTTGATGTACCCTGTTGTATGTTGCTTCTAGCAAGTTCCAGCAACACGGAATCACAAAAGTAGACTTAGAGACGTTTGGATAGAATCTCCTGCAGCATAGCATGGACTCGATTTATAAGTAGTTATTAGTATTTTATGGACAACATGTGACGCAGTCATACTCTTTGTACTGTCCAATAGCCCCATTTGTTTATTGATGAGACGAGACAAAGACGACGCTGTAATAAAACAGATGACCGTTAAGTACCCTGACGCGTCGGGAATTGTTCTTAGAATATTTGCAAACGAAATGTCTCAGAAACCTTGGCGTAAAAAAGATCCTTGCGGGTTCTAATGTTGAAGATCCTCAAACAGAATCCTCGTTTGGCATAACTATTTACAGCTTCAACCGAATCAGTTTACATCTCAGGCCAATTGTGAGAACTGCGACTAATTTTAGCTCACAGATTACCTTGCGTGGGCCATTCTAATAACAATCAATACAAACACAAGAAATCGGATTGTTATGCGTATTAGAAAATGTCGCCAGTCCAACATTGGTGTAGTTAGTCAGTGAAAGCGAAACGGGCAAAGCCAATGGTTAAATGCGAAATTGCGAATGCGGCCGTTCTAGATACTATGCCGAGAACAATGGCTTAATGTTATCATGGAACATGTACGATAGGGTACGCAACAATAAGTATAAAACAATTAATACAAACTGTGAAACAATGCACTTATGATAAAATGGTGTCAACGACGTCTAAGATAATTAAAGATAATATTTAGCATAGTGTCTGTTATTCCCTGAAGGGGTATCGGTCACCAGAGGAATGAAGAAAGCCATTTTTGCCAGCTTTTTCTAGAACCATATTGACTGTCATTCTGTGAAACACTGGCCCAGCTCTAGACTCCGTGTTTCCAATGTATTTTAGGGAACGTCCCGAATATTTTGAGATATGTATTGGAGCTTGATTCGGAAATAAAATTCGAAACAAAAAAAAACTGACAAAAAATGGGAGCCCTGTTAAACCTTTTTTAAAATTCTTCAGGCAACAACTGCCATAATGCTAGTTATATTCGAATAAAGCATAGAAATTCTGAAAGGATTTCTACTAAGATCTGTAGATTGAGCTGCACAGACCATGATATTAATTCTCAACACCATAATACGACTTCAATGCCAACAGTTTTAGTACTTTAACCTATTTTCAGCGATAGCCATCTACCTACAATGGTGTTTAGTGTCACATAACGTAGAACTATTGGAGTTCGCAAACATGTTTTTCAAGACGATGCACCGTCGAACATTCGCAAAACTAGTTCACCGTTGAATATGTAAACAAGTTATTTAAACACTTCGTGGTGTAGAGCATTCCTTTACTTTTAGACAGTATGAAACGTACATTATAAGACTCTATTAGCTATCGACCGTGGCATCTAATGGTCTATTTAAAACATTATAATTATCCATTACTAAACATTTGAAAGATTCAGTAATTTTTCCGATTTTTTGTAACTATTTGAGATTGGAGGGAGAAGATGGAAAGTTTAATTTTACTACACAAATAGAATCAGTAAGTCCAACAGTAAATAGATAAATAATAAGAGGTTACAAACTAACATAAAGCCGATACAAATATGGAAGCCATGCAGAAATGCCGTTATGGCGTGAGTTCGTTTTTTAAGTTCACAGCATCAGAGTATATTCTCTTATTTCTACAAAATACGCGCGTATCAGTGTCTTGTCATTTTATCATTGCCTTACTAACATTCGCTGAACCGTGGTACCAAAGCAAAAAATCCTCGAATTGATATAATTAGATTAGTTAAGTTCAGCAATGGTTGAAATCACACATGTTGGGGAACAGCTGCAAACTGTAGATGTAGGAGACTACAGACAGTCCTTATGTCATAGTTGTAACAAGGTTAATTGACCGTGTCATATTTTATTACTTCTTATTGAAGACAGTTTTACAATGACCCTACACCTAATATTACTCTTCTAATGACAGTTGTGTTTATAATTAGCAAACCGTAGACATATCTTTTTATTTATGCCTTAAAACATTAGGACATCTGTGGGCCAAGTGGGTCTTCCCTCCATAACAGGGGGTTTGCCATAATTTTGTCGCTTGATGGAGAGGTTAAAGATCTGAGTTTAAAAAGGTTCAGTCAGGTTTACTAGAGAGCGTATTTGCTGTCCGATCTCTGGTAAATGTGTGGTTCCATGGACGATATTATGACAGGGCGCGAGAAGGGAACAACAAAAGTTTCTACTCTGTCATCACAATGCTTAGGTACATTATTTAAATAAAATAGACTATGAACTGCACGCATGGGAAGTTAAAGCAGTGTATTATTATATGCGTGTGAGCACGAAACTAGTTCCCCGCGCATTTAATGAGGACGGAACTATTGTAACGGTGCGCCATTGCCAGTAAGTGTACCATACACGGATATAAAGCCATAAAAGTACATGGCAGCACGTAAACCTATCACGAATTGTACAATTTCTTTGATCGATTCTCGACTTTATTGTCCAACTATGAGGTTTGATATTTATTGTGGATATTTGACAGATTAGGGAAACTTTATGTGCTGGCGTGTATGTTATAAATTGAAGTGACTCAACGTACCGTTTTCTACATTTGTCGTACAGGCAAGAATTATTATGAAGCAATGCAAATCTGTTGTGAAAATATTAACGACAGTTTATAGAACATTTTGCACGGTTGGATACATAGAACCTGAATATTAATCATTTAACTGTTTACTGTAGGTACACCTTTTCTCTAAAAGGATAGACGTGACCTCTTAAAAACTCCGATCTCCAAACCTGCTAAGCGTAAAGATAAGGGCAAAACTTCTTATGTAGAAAGAAAATCGTTACAAAATACAAAACACGAAAAATACTTAAAAAAACAGTGAAAACGGCGAAAAAGGCCAGCGTCAGCTAAAGAAACCTATAGAAGTACGTGTAGAAGACACATATTATAGTCTGAACTAACAGGGGATTGGCATGGGCTGTCGATTTATTGTAAGAAGACTTGAAAGATGGAATTTTTGCATAAACGTAACCGTCTAAACTTGGAACAGCTACCCACATCGTAGCTGATCGGGTATTGAATCCCCTGATCTCAGTTACAAGTTACAAAAGCTTGGAAACGTGCCCAAATCGCTGAATCAGTAACTATATGAACATGAATAATAGTTTTAATCCGATTAACTTATGTTTAAAGATAAGACAATTGAAGATATTGTACAATCATGGTTGTTGCTAATATGATTATCTACATAGGTACTTTTGAATTATTCATTCGTCATGGTACACTAAGGATGGGCAGTTACTAATCGTGATGAAACCTGGACTTTAGAATCCGTATCTATAGTAATAATTTTAAAATGTGTTTCTAGGTGCAAATCTCAAGAACGACTGGATTGACCATGAAAGAACAAACCCCAGGGTTTGTTCTTTTAAATGGAATCCATGAAAATATTTTATGCAAAAAAGATCTTATTATAATATTCGCCAGAAGGGGATTTTAAGATCTGCTAACAAATTGTAGTGAGTTAAACTTTTTTTTTATTTTGTCCAACAATTTGGATTTTCTCCTGTGTCGTGGTTACGTTTAAGAACATACAATTTGACATACACATGACACCCAGACTCGGAACAACAATTTGTGGATCACACAAAGAGTTGCTTGGATCGCCTAAATTGGCATTATTAAATGTAGGTATATTACTAACTTTTATAGTACCTATATTGAAGAGTTCGTGTTTTGTTGGAAGGCGCTAATCTCCGGAACTACTGGTCCAATTGTGTTAGATGGTGCATTTATCAAGGAAGGCCTTATGACCAATAGGAACCGAGCAACGGTTGAAACCGTGCGGGAATTGCTAGTATTGAATATTGATAAAGCCGAGTCCAACAATTGTTTTTGTACTCACGTTAATTAGATTGATACAGTACAAACACAATTAAGTACATTTGATTTCGTCATAGATATTCACAGATACCTACCAAGTTTATTATATTATATCTATGCATATTTAGCTGGTGTTTATGACGCATCGTATGTATGCACCTAAGTTGGAAATAACTACGGATAAACAGAAAGGATGTTATTAATTTATATATGTAGTTATTTAGTAAAATTTCCACATAACAACACAGCCAAATCGTTTTCAGTTTGCACAACGGATAAATTATTGGTTTAACAAGGAAACACTTCGATTGTACAATTTGTAATGTAAAACTAGTTTTGTGAAGATTATATTCAGAGGCCTTAGTACGAGTTTCGTTTTACGCTTAAAGTAATCGTAACGAGTACGCGTTCGGCGCTCTGATTGGTTGGTTCATTGGCGCCGGCCAATCAGAGGCCTTAGTATGAGTTTGATTTACGTTTAAAGTATTCGAAACGAGTACGCGTTCGGCACTCTTATTGGCCGGCGCCAATGAAGCAACCAATCACAGCGCCGAACGCGTACTCGTAACGATTACTTTAAACGTAAATCAAACTCGTACTAAGGCCTCAGAGTGCCGAACGCGTACTCGTTACGAATACTTTCAACGTAAATCAAACTCGTACTAAGACCTCAGAAGTACTAGGTGACTAGGTAAGCGTAGGAATAAGTGCTTTAAGATCTTCAAACGATTGGACTTCGGTCTCAATCATTGTAACGTCGACTTGTTAGTTCATCTTTCGTTTATATTGCACTAGCGAACAGTCCCGCGCGTTATTAGTGTTTATCTACTAGGTACACAATTCTATTTATAATGCATGTAATATAGTTACATATAAACTTCCCTTTTGAATTCATCTAGAAAAAAAATTGCATAAAAATTCGTTGCGTAGTTTTAAATATTTAAGTACACATAGGGACACACAGAAAAATCCATTGACCTACCATGCAACTGAGCTCGTTCTATAGCTCTTCGAATGTAACGGTTGCCGATTTGCCAGTTACTTTTAAAATAAGATCGTCATTAATATATTATGTTTTGTACAAAGTCGCTTTTTAGCCCTAACTAAGACTGAACTGATTTTGACAAGTAGTTAAGTACTTAGTGATTGCTTCGTTGCCCGAGCGGTCGCAAGTGCGACTGCCGTGCAAGGGGTCTCGGGTTCGATTCCCGGGTCGGGCAAAGTATTACTGGGTTTTTAGTTTTAGTTTTAGGAGTCTGGAATTGTGCCCGGTATATGGCAATAGGCTCACCCACTATTACATGGGACTCGTAACATAAATAGTGAAAAGTGGGTGTTACATTGTACAGTACCATAATGTACACCTCTGACTACCCTTTCGGGGATAAAAGGCGTGATGTTATGTTATGTTGTGTTAAGTACTTAATATACATATTTGGTACAAAGATAAATACATCATTGGAAAATACCTAACTAAATAAGTTTCATTTTAGTCAGTTTGTATTATGTACTATGTGGTTATTCACGACCTAAAATTTTATATGGTAAATTCAATATTATTTTGCTATCCAGACTTATCCAGACTCACTTCTCAGGCATACCTAGACTTTTCCCATGTTTCTTCTCATAATAAAATAAGTGATGAATTTTATATTTGCGAGCTCGCAGATCCTATCTATCTTTACTAAAATTCATCAATTTCGGTACAGCTGTTTAGGCGTAAAATACGTAGTTACGTAAGTAAATAAAGTTATTTTCGAATTTACCCGAAACTATTTCATAGCAGATTATATGGTATAATGGACAATCGATTTAGTTATATTCATTTTACCTTGTTTATCCACCACGGTTGGTACGGATCACCTGATGGTGAACGATCAGCGCCGCCCATGACACTATAGGAGTCACAAGTGCGTTGCAGGCACGTTGAGACAGCGCCTATAGATGTATAGGCCAGTAGAAATATGTTTGTATGTGTTTGTACTCGTGTGTGTATTATGTGCCTATTCTAGATCGACAAGGTTTGAAAATTCGGTTGAGTATGACGTCTAAATTCAAAATATTTCCAGCTCGCATAACTAGATGAATTTCAGTAAATGGGAACACTGGCGAATATATTTGTAAACACGATTATCGATCACGTGCTTCTGTAGTCACGAGTAAGTTTCAAATTACTTGCGTAACTAGTGCAGTCAGTGCTCGACGATACCCATAATTATATTATAGGCCCCTGGCGTGGCTCAAAACAAGTCGAGTTAACCTCATCAAATAGTTGCGTGAGTAAGCTGTACTACAACGTAATAAACAAGAGACAAAGAACCCAACAGACAGTAGTAACATACTCGTCGGCTTACGGCTTTTTTGGAAAAATCAAATGCAATACTGTTTTAAATTTTTTAAATGCATGTCTAAGGGTGCGTTCACATCTGGCGAAAGCGCCGCTTGCGAGCTCGTAGGTACTCAACTCGAAGGTTCGTATACCTAAATAATAATTTAAAATGCACCGCGCGCAGCTCGCAAGCTGTTCGCAGGCGGCCTGCGCATTCGCGGAGCATTCGCCTGATGTGGACACATCCTAAGATATAAATCTGTGACGCAGTAACTACTGTAGGTGCCTTACCAATCGCCATTATCCATATGAGGTTGTATTGCGTAAATAAGTTTATGACCAGTTGCAGCTTATCAATATTCACATAGATTGCAACAATATCATTTTAATATACACTATAGTTAAATATTCACTGGATGTTTTATAATATACAACAACAATAATTTAAAATCGAAACAGTACTCTTCCTACAGTTGGATAAAAAGAATCCATATTGTATTTATTTTGGTACAAACATTCCAATTTTAAATAGGTAGTTACTTAGTCCAAGGGATTTTCTTTTTTATTCTTGCTTGCCATAAAGTTGGCAGCCTTGAGTAGAGAAGGCATAAAGGATTAACAATGCTGATATTTGTGTGGCCTTCAACTATAACACCCCAGTGGCCAGTGGTGGGGGTGTGAAAAGTGTAAGAAATATTTTATTACCTTGAACTTGAACTCAACAAGGAAATTATGCTTACAGCCTTAAAATATGATTTTTAAAATGTACCCATGTTATAGTTACTTAGAAATGTAGCTTTTATTTTGTTAATATTGAGACTAGACATATATTAGAATAAGTTTGTATAATACTTTTATGGTAATATTTCTGTAGATATTCAATAGATTCTAGATTCTAGCAGACAGTGTTGGATACATTATACATGTCATACAAAAACAATACAATAATAATACACTATAGCCACATTTATACAAAAAGCAACCTTGAAACTGGAGACACAAAAAACAAAGCAAATGCAATTCAAACATGAGATCTTTTATTTACTTATTCATGAATCTAATTTATGAGGTCTTTTCTTTAATGATATCCTGGCAACTTATAAACCTTGTTCTAAATTTGAATGAGATAAGAGAGTAATATTTTCTTTTTTTTTAACAGATAATAAATCAATCTACTCAGGCTATCTATCACAGAGTACTGATAAGTTTAATGAATATGTGTATATTTATATTAAATTACCTAGATAAAGTAATATTAATATTTTAGATACTATTTGTTTTTAGATGTGCTAACAGTTTTTAGTGAATGGGGATACACTAACTTTAGTGTTATTCAATAAATATATGAACCTAATAATTTTAAGCATTGATTGAAGGAAAAAATGCAACAATTAAAGTCTTTTTAATTAAGAATGTACAATTAAAATATTTTTATCAGTTTATTAGCTTAAAAATAACTTACATGGTAAGTAGAAAAATAAACAAACAGTTAAGTACTTACAGCAAATATTGTGTTCTGCAATCCAAAAGGTATTGGCGTCAGTCTCGCGAAAAATACAATTTTGAAGGCTTGCGGCCCTGAGATCACCTTCAGTAGGGCTCGCGCCGTCTCGTTCTTGAGCAAGCGGTCCAGAGGGAGGTAGTTCCGCAACGCTTTCAGGGTAAAGTGAGCCACCGCCACGCCAAAGTTCGCACTCACCAAAACAGTTACTAAACCCTTAACGATTCCGAATAAATATCCACTAGTTATTATCAACACTAAATATCCTATCGTCACTGGAAAACTGACGATCAAAAATAAACCCATAAATAACAAAAATATTATCCACGGATCCTGAGCGTCTACCCAGTATAAAATCGTCTTTAGATACTCCTTGAAAAAATAAAGCACCAGAACCAGGCATGTGAGCAACAGTATTGATACTACGATGTTAAATAAATAACTGTACGTTGTCCTATTGTTAATTTTAGCCCATAAACTTTTCTTTCTTGTGACCGCTGTAGGGTCGGGCTGGCATTCTTCAACGTCGACAATTTCCATGGTGACTTTCGTTCACGAAAATTAAACAAGGTCTATAAACTATTGTGTTTTTTAATAAAGCACACTATTTCGTTCGCCATGGCCCAATTCAAGGGACTGTGTTTATTTCACGTTTACGCACGGCAGCGACCAAAATTCAACGAACAATCAACCACTTTGACCACTTTTCACAGACTATAATAAAATTTTGACTGACAGAATTTCATCAAATCAATTTGTCAAATTTTGACATCTATTAATAAGTTGCCAGATGATAATATATTGTAATACAGTGATTTTACTTCCTAATACGAATATTGATTACTTAAGATAGTTGCCAACCTAGGTATTTAATATATCTTGTGTCAAATACTACTTTATGTTTTTAAATGATTTTAATTACATTTAAATTATGATCAAAAAATAATAGTCAACTAGTCTATACTATTGCCATATGAATAAAAATATGTCTACTGTCAAATATCGCGTTCCATCTCATAAAAAAATATAGTTTTCGCAACTTCACATTAGACAAAGAGAGATGGATAACATATTTAGGTAGTGCGAAAAGGTTGTTATGTTAAAAACTGACATTTTGTTGAAACGTCATTCTTCCACAAATTCACATCTGTGCAGTGGTGTGCACCGTGGACTAGAATATATTTACTTTTAGAAATACGTGTTAAATATTAAATAGTTTCACTATTAATAGTTTAACATTCTTATAATACTCGATTTAGTTTGAGGAAGAAGAATTGTACTAGGTTTATATTTATTTGAAGGTTCGAGAAAAGACATAACCATGCCGCCGAAGAAAGCAAGCGGCGGCGGCGGCGGTGGTGGCCCGAGTAAAAAGACAGAGGCGAAGAAAAAGGATAAAGTTATCGAGGTGATAAATATAACACGTTATAGAGCATTGCATTATGAGTGTTTATGTATTCTCTGATACATCTCTCATACAGTTTCTGCGCAAATATGGGTCATCCCATTCTTCCTTTATTTCTAGAAATTCTTATAGGTAACCAATTAACTCATTATATTTATCAGGTCGCAGAAAACTATGGGAACTATCTCCCTAACTTTATAATCTATGATTCTAAACTAAGATTGTTTTAACAGGATAAAACCTTTGGGCTTAAAAATAAGAAGGGAGCGAAGCAGCAGAAGTTTATTCAGCAAGTTGAGAAGCAAGTGAAGAGTGGCGGCATTCACCCTGCCAAGCCTATGGATGACAAGAAGAAAGAAAAGGAGGCCAAAATGAAAGAACAAAAAGAATTAGCGATGCTGTTCAAACCTGTGCAGACACAGAAAGTTGAAAAAGGTATTAGTGAATAGGTTAATCCACTTGTCGAGGTTGCTTAGGGGCTAAGCAGCATACTGTCATAGGCTAGGCAGCATAATCACTTACACTAGGCGAGATAGTGGCCAATAGGCGAACCATTGCCAATAAAAAAAATGGATATTGTTTATTAAGGCATTATAATACACTTATTTTACAAATCACATTAGCATATCGAGGGGTAACGGACTATTTGGTTTAAGCGACATTTTGGGCGATATTGAGTTATATATACGGAATCAGCGAATTTTTCTCTGTCGAATATATATAATAACTTAATATCGCCCAAAATGTCGTTTAAACCAAATAGTCCGTTACCCCTCGATATAATTTTATGTTATTGTCATAGACAAAGATGTGTAGCTTTTACATTTTCTTTTTTACCTCTTTGTTGATCAACAAATGAGTCTCATGTTACTTTACATATTAATGAAAGATTAATTGAATATAAATAAATATTTAAGTATTTCAGGCTGTACAGGACTAGTAGAAAGTTTCCACTTCCTTCAGAAAGTTATATATAATTTATTTAAGTAATTAACTTGATTATTTTTCCTAGGTACGGACCCCAAGTCGGTGGTGTGTGCATTCTTCAAGCAGGGTCAGTGTACGAAGGGAGATAAGTGCAAATTCTCGCACGACTTGACACTTGAAAGAAAAGTATGTACATATATCAATTTAATTATTTTTAGTTTTGCAACATTTACAAAGTTTTGTAGCTATTACCCAACTGAAAACTGGAAGGGTATTGTTTTTCGCGCGTATCTTGAATGTATGTATATGGGTATGAGCGTGATATTATTTATTTAAAAGGTTTAATTATGTCTTCCGTTTCTAGAATGACTTCATTGAAATATTTAAATTATTATGTTTTCGGCTTACTCACGTAATAATTTGACGAGGAACTCGACTAGTTTCAAGCCATGCTAGAGGCTCATTCATGAGCAGCATTTCGCCTCCGCGACGCGGCGACTGTCGCGCTGCTACTGAATTTAGTATATTTCACGAAAGTTACAATATAAATTAAGATATTTGACTAAAGGTTGATTGATTGCCGGTTTCATTATCACTTGGAACAGATGAAATTATTTTATTTTGTGATCCACATAAATTGTTGTTCTGCGTGTGATGTTATGTGAACATATAAATGCCGTATCATTCACATTCTAAAATTCAAATTGCAACATTTTGTCGGGTTTTGTATCTGAGTCCAAATAGATAAATATAACTTTTGTTTTAATTTTACAAACATTTCTATTCTAGGCTGAGAAACGATCTCTATATGTGGACATGCGAGATGACGACGACAATATGGACAACTGGGATGAAGATAAGCTAAAGGAAGTAGTTGAGAAGAAACACGGCGAGGGTGATAAGCAGAGACCTACTACTGATATTGTAAGTTTTAAACTGTCAAACACCAAGCGGTCACCGGTGACCGCAACCTATTGTTCTATAATTGTGTCTACAAAACCGGTACTCGACGAGTTAATATAAAATATTTTTATTCCTACATACAAGTATAGAAATATAAATAATAGTACCGTGTCCAGCTGATTAAACAGTAAATTTAGATTTTCTACTTAATTGTTTAGATGTAAAGTATGTGTAACTGGCTGGCATCTGTACAATAACTGTTTATGCAATCTCGATCTAGTGATCGAGTTAAATTATCAGATTTACTTATCCTGTATACTAATACAGGATTATAATTTTAATATAGTAATTATGAAATTTCCAATTTCCACAGATCTGCAAACATTTCTTGGAAGCTGTAGAGAAATCAAAGTATGGGTGGTTTTGGGAGTGTCCTTCTGGTACTAAATGTATATACAGGCACGCTCTCCCACCAGGCTTCGTTCTGAAGAGAGATAAAAAGAAAATGGAGGAGAAGAAGAATGAGATCTCTCTTGTCGACCTGATTGAAAGAGAGAGAGCCGCACTTGGACCCAATCAGACAAAGATTACATTAGAAACTTTCCTTGCCTGGAAAAAGAAGAAGATTAAGGACAAACACGTAAGTAGTGCAATGATAACAAGCTTTCTGCCCATGGCTTTGCCCATACCACTGGATAAATGTACAATGGAGCCACATAAATAATTTCATACTTCAGAAACACTGTTATGATGATTTTTATGCTGAGTTAACTAAGCATAATTATATTTTGTGTTTAATCAAAAGTGGTTACTGTTTATTACTTAAAAAAATTTTGGTCCAGAACTTAGCTTGGGACAAATTCATCAATCAAAGTTTGTGAGCCGTAGCCGGTTTTAACAAAAAGAGTATAATTTACAATTTTCCTCAACCAGGACGCTCAAACGAAGGCTGAGGAGCAACGTCGCAGTGACTTCAAGGCGGGTCGCGCGGTGGGTCTGTCCGGGCGCGAGATGTTCTCGTTCGACCCGGCGCTGGCGGCCGACGCGGACGAGGACGACGACGAGGCCGTCGACCTCGCCACCTACGGGGACGAGGACGCAGACACGACGGAGTACAGAGAAGTACAGTTCGACCTCATCGCTATGGAAGCTTCCGAGGTCAGTATAAAAATACCCTTACTTAATTTTTTTTTATGGTATAAGCCGGTAAACAAGCAGACGGATCACCCGATGGTAAGTAATCGGCGTCGCCCATGGACACCTGGAACACCAGAGGCGTTACAAGTGCGTTACCGGCCTTTTGGGAATTAAGAGTTTGAGGATCGTTGGGGATTCAGGGATTGGGGTGATTGGGGAAGGGGAGGGTAATTGGGCCTCCGGTAACTTCACTCACACGACAAAACACAACGCAAGCGTTACTTCACGTCGGTTTTCTGTGAGGCCGTGGTATCACTCCGGTCAAGCCGGCCCATTCGTGCCGAAGTATGTCAAGCAAGTTTAAGTGTGAAACACTTAAACTTTTGTGTAATTTTCAATGCTCAATGTTCCTCCATGTAAGAAGCGACCTTTGGTCAGCAGTGGTCACTTATAGACTACAGATGGTATTGTTGATGTTGTATTTGTGTGAAGTGGAATCTTACAACTCAATTTTGAAGCCTTATACCTTTACTCGATTCAGCTGAAATTTTGTATAATCGTTTAGACGATAAAAGCTTTTATGTAGTGTTTATCGTACAAAATTTCCATGACCATAAATGCTACTTAAAAGCTTGTTGGTTAGTCCATTTATTGAGGAAAGCTATGATAATACAAAACACACTATGATCAATAGAAGCTGGGCAGTGAGTGAAAACGCGGACTAGTGTATGATAAATAAATAAAATCAATATTATAACTTGTCTCCAGGCGGACGACACGGGCACCAAAGCGACAGAAGACAGACTGCACCAACTAGGCCAGGGTCTGTCCAATGGAACCAGTTCCACTGGCGACGGAGACGACACCCAGTCCTCCAAGGAGGGATCCTCTACCGACACCGCCTCCGCTGTACCCATCAACGAAAACCTCTTTTTAGATGAAGATTTAGACGAAGAACTTCAAAACTTAGACTTAGAAGATTAGTATTTAAAATTATATACAAAGTGTGACCTCATTGGACCGTTTATGTGGTGATAATATGTTGTAAAGCCTTCGCTTATTGGTGGCACGGGAAGACATTTCTGTGTTAAAGAAAATTGTACCTTGTTGTGTGTTTTTATGGTTGAAATTTCAATACAGATATAAATAAAGTGTATAGGTAACAAATCAAAGCTGTTCCTATGTGATAGAGTTGAAATTCCAATGAGTATAAAATCTAATTTAAACTGTCAAACACCAAGCGGTCACCGGTGACCGCAACCTATTGTTCTATAATTGTGTCTACAGAACCGGTACTCGACGAGTTAAAACTGCCACCCTCATTGGAATTGCAACTGTATTACTACATGTTTACGGTAAGTTTTTATTCAGCACAACTTAATTGCCGGGCCATACAATGAGTTAAGTCTGAATCATTAGGTATATTTAAAAAAATGTAAATGACAAAGCTAAAAGCGTCAATTTATATAGAAGTTGTTTCAGGGACGGTCCCACTTTGTATATAATCTCACATTTTTACCGTCCCGGGTATAAAATGTACTACAGGATCCTACAAACGGACAAATTCATTACAACATTATCCTGCTTACAATACAATCGATTTTGAGCTTTATTGCATTCACTATAAGACAGATGGTAGTTGCAAGGAATGGCTTGCGACAAATATAAAAAATATATACTTGCAATTGCATACTTATACCAATGGAATAGAACTTAAAATGGATTAGATTGTAGATTAGCTGCCTTCGTTTAGAGATTGTACGCGTTTTTTTTCACAGTCCTTATGTCCTTAATATAAGTTTGTAATAAATATTTATATGTTACCTTCTCCCGAATTTATTCAGCTGGGTTACCCTGTAACTCAATTCGAACTTCCGAAGTGAGCTCGATCGCATTCTCGCCCGTCATTGGTCGAGATTATTCTCAACAATAACATGGCGGGATGCAAAGGAGTTGACTTCGATCTTTTGAATTGAAAGGTATACAATAGCCTAGGTCTTATTTATCGGCTTTCCTAATGAGTTTGTTTTTCTATAGTTTGACCAATATTACTATACCTAAGTATAATACCTGGCGATGAATATTGCACACCTTTAGACACCCGGCCAAGTCGCTGCGTATACTGCTCATAATATGAGCTGCTAAAACTAGTCGAGCACAACTCAAAAAAATAAATAAATGGATGAATTATTATGTTTTTCGACTTACGTAACTTTTTGACGAGGAACTCGACTAGTTTCAAGCCATGCTAGAAGCTCATATACATGAGCAAAAAATAATAATTAATTTAGTTGGTTGTGAAAGTTAAATATAAAATAAATATATAAAATATCTTAACCCGTCGTGTCTAACGGAACCATGGAGACAATGTATTTTCTATTGTGTTTCATATCGTACCATTCAACCGGTTGGTAATGACCATAATAGACAATATTGTCTTTTAAGTAAAAATACTCACGTGAATATACTGAAAAAAGCTCTACCAGTTTCGAACCACAGTGAGCTGCGCGAGGTCGCCGCGACCGCGCACGCTGCTCATGAGGAAGAACCCCTCTGTGGTTCGAAACTAGTAGAGCTTTTCTCAGTATATTCACGTGAGTAACCCGCGTTTTTACTTAATTTAGTATGTCTCACGATAGTTATTATAAAAACAATATTGTCTTTTTCCAAAAGTTGATGTGCAATATATCGCCAGATACTGCACAACGGTTTTCGGCCATTTTCTATAACCTATCTGTAGATTTGCGTACTGAGATAGAATTTTGACACATTTTGTATGGAGCTTATGTCAAAATTCTATCTCTATAAGCAAATCTACAGATATACAGATAGATAGGTTGTCGCGGAGAACCTAACGGGTAACCGGGGCTCCGGCTCGACGTGCAGGAGAAGGAACGGGGTGGTTTTTAGTCAGTAAGAGTCTGACACTCCCACCCGCCTCACCCAGGCGGGAGCAGTCATTCGATGATTTTCCCCCCTTAAAAAAAAAAGATAGATAGGTTATAGAAAATGGCCGTAACTCGAACTAGTTCAATCTGAGGCCTTAGTACGAGTTTGTTTTCCGTTTAAAGTATTCGTAACGAGTACGCGTTCGGCACTCTGATTGGCGCGCGCCAATGAACCAACCAATCAGAACGCCGAACGCGAACTTGTTACGATTACTTACGTAAAACAAACTCGTACTAAGGCCTCAGGTCCAGACAATAACAAATACATGACAGGTATTAAAAATATATGTTTTACAGTAAAAGTGCAATTGAACGCGTATTGAATGATTTTCATAAAACCCAATGTGAATGTACTGCTCATAAATTATAATTACACTGTCAGCAACAAAATAATAACATATTATATGTAAATAAAATAACGTATTTTCAACTAATGTTTGTTTTATTTTGTTTTAAAATATTTTTCTTTAGGTAAATGCAAATGGAATCTTGAAAACATCTCTATTCCATTCCGTAATAAATGTATGGTGTTATCTATGTATAAATATATTACTTAATCTTATACTATTATATAAAGCGGAAGAGTTTGTTTTTTTGTTTGTTGAACGCGCTTATCTCCGTAAATACAAGTCTTGATTTGAATAATTCTTTTTGTGTTAGATAGCGCATTTATCGAATATGGCTATAGGCTATAAAACATTATTCTACGACCAATAGGAGCTATGCAGAGCGTGTGAAACCGCGTGAAAATAGCTAGTTAATATATAAAGCTGAAGAGTTTTGTTTGTTGGCTTAAAATATATTTAGAAACTAGCTGTTGCAAGCGACATCGTCCGCGTAGAATATGAATTTTAGGACATAACTTTTTTCTTTTAATTTTCCATAATAAAAATATCCTATGTTAGTTCTACTGCCAATAAAAGTCCCGCCAAATTCGGTCCAGAGATTAGCCAGTCCAAACAGACAAGACAAAAATTTGTAAAACTGTCATTATTATAGTATTAAGTAAAAAGCGGTTATTTTAATATTACAAACAGACAAGAGAACAGTGTAAAGATTTGCGTTCTTTTGAACGTAAGGCACAATATTTTCTTGTAAGTTAATAATCCTTATCCTTACTATTTATAAATGGGAAAGTGAGTTTGTTTGTTTGTTCCGCTTTCACGCCGTAACTTCTAAACCGATTGCTTTGAATTTTTGCAGGCGTAAAGTTAGAAGTCCGGAATAAATAATAGGGTACTTTTTATCCCGGAAAATTTTGATATTCCCGAGGGAAAACGAAAGAATTGGTATAGACTATAGATGGCGGTGTGTGTATTGGTATACCTATGTCACATAGGCTACTTTTATCCTTTTGAGACGAGAGCGAAGCCGCGGGTAAAAGCCAGTATTTTTATAAATAATTTAGTTTTCAATCGCCAACCATCGCGCTGGGTTTTCAGTCGTAATCATATCTATTAGTTCTTGCGAGAATCCCTTAGATTTCATCTTTGGTAGCACATTGTTGATGATGTGTGCGTAGCCATGGCCGCCGAATTTAGTCTGTAAATACATAGAATGGGTTAAAAATGCATCCGTAATTTATTTTATGAACACTATTATAATGGGATTCAGATGGCTAAAATGACAATGTCGTATCTATGAGAGAATTATATAACATGCGTAATGTAAATGTTATGTGGTTATGTGTGTACCGTTCAGTACCGTTTGTGTTTAAAAACATAACATAACATCACGCCTTTTATCCCCGAAGGGGTAGGCAGAGGTGCACACAGAAGTAACACCCACTTTTCACTATTTATGTTATGAGTCCCATGTAATAGGGGGTGAGCCTATTGCCATATACCGGGCACATTTTCAGACTCCGTGCTACTACTGAGAATTTTTTAAAACCCAGTAATACTTTGCCCTACCCGGGAATCGAACCCGAGACCCCTTGCCCGGCAATCGCACTCGCGAATCGCGACCACTCTGCCAACGAGGCAGTGTGTTTAAAAAGTACCTAAATAACAGATATTTTCAAACAGGAGGTCATTATTACAACATGGTTAAAGTTGATTATTGAAAAACAGTATAAAGGTCCTAAGTCAATACTGCTAAAAGGAAAAAGGAACTCAGCAGTCGTAGTTTTAAAGATCAAAACTATAAAATCATTGGCCTTTTACTCACCAGTCGGTGCTTCGTATGAATGTCGTGGGACATCAGTATCCTGTTTCCTCTGCCCTCCTTCACAAGTGCTGCCATCTTTTGTATTCTTTGGGCGTCGCTCAGCATGTCTGTTGTGACCTCAAGTTGGTAGTATGACACTTCGGTTCCGAACAAATCGAACTGGCAATATGTGCCGAGTTGAGAAAATTCCAACAAAATGTCGTCGTCTACTAATGTACCTGAAAATTAGAGTTTATGAAGTAGGTGGAATTATTGGACAGGTTAACGGGGCCTACAGCTCCAAGCAGGACTAGGAACGGGGTAGTTTTTAAGCAATAATAACATGCCACACTCTCGTCTCACCCAACGCAGGAGAAGTCAAAGGATGGATCATTTTCCCACACAAAAAAATATCGTTCACATCGGTACTGAACGATTGTTTTTTTTTTTTTAAGGGGGGAAATTCATCGAATGACTGAACGACTGTAGGGCCTAAATAAAAGTAAGTACTTAGGTTCGTGTTTATCTAAGCGCAGAACTGAACTTCGTGGCATGCTATTTAAATATCCTATTTAAGACCAGCAGTAGAGAAATAAAAGGAATCTTTAAACAAAAGAGCGCACATAGATACATGTACTTTTTTGATGACTAACCGCTCTCCACTAACTCCATTATAGACCTTATTTCCAATGTTTAGAGACTACTTTTGTTTGAACAAATTTAGGGGATGATTTTCAACAATTTTTAACGGGTTAAACTGTCAAACACCAAGCGATCACCGGTGACCGCAACCTATTGTTCTATAATTGTGTCTACAAAACCGGTACTCGACGAGTTAAAGCAGAGAACACACTTGCGGCTCCGCTGATGTTGCGCCTACCATCAAGTGAGGGAATCCGTCTGCTCGTTGGTCTCCTAATCCAAAAAAACCTAACAACACAAAAACACTGGTGTGATGGGTTCTCCTCTTGGCTCCGTGCCTAATAAGATGGCAGATTACTTACGATCCAAATGCGACATGACAACTTTGTCTGCGGACCCTCCAGCCTCCAAGTAAAGGCGGATGATTTCGAAGGGCGCTTCCTTATTCCGGTGAGGATGGAAGCTCACGCCACATTTCAGTTGCGGTTGCAACTCCCCAGCAGCCTTTATTGCCTTGCGTTCAAAATCTAAAAGAACGAAAATAAATATTTAAATAATTTTAAGATTAAAAGAATGTTAAAAGTTAACGTTTATGTGTTCACGAAAGACGCCATTAGGTCATAATTCTCCAAACAAAGTAGATACAGTAGCTGTTACAAATTGACGATCAATACATGGAAAATTCCGAAATTCTATCTCACACACAGGGGCTAACCCTTTATAGGCGTCGCGGAGAACCTAACGGGTAACCGGGGCTCCGGCTCGACGTGCAGGATAAGGAACGGGGTGGTTTTTAGTCAGTAAGAGTCTGACACTCCCTCCCGCCTCACCCAGGCGGGAGCAGTCATTTGATGTTTTTCCTCCCTTAAAAAAACCCTTTATAGGCGCCATCTGGTGAGAACAAAAACGTTGGCCCTCTCTCTAACCTCTTAATGGCCAGACGCTAGCAATCTCTCCCATGAAACCAGCCTTGACTCCTTCAAAATTCACACAGCCCTTCGTCAGCTCCTGCAGCATGTGATTGTAGACATCTTCAGTAGATTTTTGCAGGGTGTCTCCACTCTGCAAGTCTGCTATGTAATGGCCCGTTCCAGCAACGATGTGGACGTTGCTGGCTCTTGACACGTTCTGGTAAAACTTTATATCCCGGTTCAGGCCTTCCGTTGTGTTTTCTACTATGGTACCTGGGACATAAATGGTAATAGATTAAACTTTTTACTTGTCTAGCGACGCCGCCGCTTCACACGGGTGCAATATCCATGTATACAAAAATAGCAACCTTAAGAAACACTATATATACAAAAACCGCATCAAAAGCCTTTACGTAGTTTTAAAGATCTAAGCATACATAGGGACAGACAGACGGCAGATAGGTTAAGGTTTGGCCTTTGGCCACCATCTCGCTTGCCTAACAATAGCCACTAACAACACTTAAGTACGTTGTGTTTTGCCGTGTTACTGATGGACGTCCAATTCAATCCGCTCTCTCACAAATATCCAATACCCAAAGGGCCGGCCACGTGCTTCTAGCTCCTCTTAATGTTGCGGGCTTCCATGGGCCCATTGCTTACTATCAGATGACCCGTCTCATCATTAGTCGCCTTACACCATAAACAAAATTACAAATTGACCTAGGTCGTCCACAAACAAGTCCGATCTAGATACAATATTTTCCTCAGAAAGTTTATAACAGTAATACTCTAATGGAAACCGATGAGTTACCAAGATCTTCACTCACCTCCTCCAGCAATTTTGTATTCGATGACGTCATCGGTGACGGCACTTTGGGCTGCATCATCATCTAACTGCAAGTTGTACCTCAAGCTGTACGGGTATTGCCTCACGTAGCCTATTCTATGGAGTTCTAAGCTTGGAGCTTGGAATTTGCCAGCTAGTGTAGATGGCGGTTCTCTGTAGAAATGCTCGAAGTTCATAGCCAGATGTTCATGGGTCAGGGTGCGACCTAAAACCGCTGGGCTCACGTCTCCTAATACTGAAATAATTCACATTTATTTATGGTTTCTAAAAGAAGGTAATAGACGTGTAAAATTCCATAATTTTTTGGCTCACACACGTAGGTATACTATAGACGCGGTAGTCCGTCGTTGTTAGTGCAACGCTGCTCATATCTATATAGTTCGACTAGTTTCAAACAAAGTAAGGGCCTCTACTTTGCTTGAAACTAGTCGAACTACTGAACTACCTACTTAAAAAGACTGACATCGGGATCAATTAGTAAATATCACTAATTACCTGAATTTATCAATTGCTATAGATAGTCATGTAGGTAGTATGCATAGCATATGAAAAACATGCCTGCTTGAAATTGTCGACTGTACCTATCTACCCAGTTGGGTAACAATGCATTCATAATACGATAATACTGTGTTCTTAGTTCTTACTGCTTTATTTATGTAAATTAGCATACTAACATATCAACTAAGTCGTTAGCAAATAAACCTTTAAATAGATAGGTAATTTTTAGTGATTAAATATTTGATGTTTTTGGTTTTCCCAGTAGATAAATCTGGAAACCAACTTTCCAACAGAGGTTATTGCCTAATACGATCAAAATAAATGTGGACCCGATAAAAAAAAGTAGTCAAGGCAAGTCAAAAATAAAATGAACGATAAAATACTCACCGGTTTGCACCTTCGAAGACATTTTGAATTTATCAATGTACGGTCCTCACTAGAGCAAAGTTGGCGCTCAACTGCGTCAAACAAGTATTTAAGGTTGTTTACTTTATTGCTTATCAATGCAAATATTTATACCTAAAGTAAGTACTTATATCTATATAAAGAGATAATGTTCCAATGATATTAATGAATACGTGTAGATATCTTGTCATGCGCAAGCACATCCAAATAGTGTATCATTTATAACACTGCGAAACGACAGACAGTAAAATATCAAACTCAGTTTACTCGATTCGATAACCAATGAAACTAGACATCGAGGTCAAGTTTGCTACATAATAAACATGCAGGGCTGCCATATTTAAAAATAGATCCCGGCGGTTCCATCCATTCTGCCGCGTTTTATTCTGCGTTGAATGGAACGCAGTGCGCGGGAATTTCAACATCCTGCCTTTACTATAGCAACGGTTGTTGTTTTATGGAGCGCTATATCGTTACACACTTTTGTTTTTACATAAAATATTTATCGTACCTATTCGTAAGTTCGTTACACAATGCCTATTTTAGTAAAAGATTTCACGTGGTCTCAAACAAATAATGTTGTTCATATTAGAGTCCCGTTAAATCCGGTTGCTCATGAGAAAGTAGATCTATTCCCTACTGAGAAGTACATAAAGGCTAATTTTAGTCCATTCTTGTTCGAAGTATTTCCACTTTACGACGTAAATATAAAGAAAAGTAAATGCTTTGTTAAAGAAGACGTGATTATTTTGGACTTGATGAAAAATGAAGAAATTACATGGGAATGTTTAGAAAAGCAGCTTACAAAGGAGGAGAAAATGAAAATAAGACAAGAGGTTCTTGAAAAGTGCCTGGAACAAGCGAAGCAGGAATCGGAAGATAGGCAAATTAAAAAGAGCCAGTTGGATAGGTACACTGTTCAGCAAGCAATGGAAATAGATAGTCAACAACATAAACTCATGGACTCTCGGCGGGATCACGAAAGGAAGAAAGCTATGGATGAGCTAGAGGAGTGGAGAGTAGGTAAAGTGAGTGTTACAGAAGAATCTAATGACACTAAATTACAAGGTCAGGGAAATGAGAAAATTAAAGCACTTCCACCACCAAAAGAGGAAGAACGGGTTGAAATCAATACGACAAAAGTTGAAAAGGAAGCACAGGAAAAAGACGAAGAGAAAATGACAAAGGAACCAGTATTAAAGTCAGTACCGAGAGCGCAAAAACCTCCAAAGCCTGTGAAGACTCCAGTAAAATCTGAATACGTGGAAAAGAAGAAGGAGGAGACTGCAAAGAGAGTGTTACCAAGGTTGAGGCAAACTATGAATCTGGAGATTAACCACACGCCGCGGACTTTCCCTACGCCCAGCAGAGAATCTACTGCCGATGAAGAACAGGCTTGGCTGAAGAATATTACTTTAGCAAGACGAGCGACTGGTAAGATGATCTCCGAGACTTCGCCTAGGTAGTTCGTACCAACAAAAATAGAAAGTGCATCTATAAGTTGGTTCTGTTGGTATACGCTGTAGCACCTATTTTACTGTTATTTTAATTTGATAGAAAAACATAAAATTTTGTAAGGCTGAAGGATTTATTTATACGTTATAAGTTTTAATAATATCTCTTCGTTGTACCTAATATTCAGGTTTCGTCTCCGAAGACCTAAGACCAGAAGAACAAGATCCTCAATGGTGCAAGGAGAAGGGTGATGAATTCTTCAAAAATGGCAACTTTCTCGGAGCCATCAGTGCGTACACTCACGGCATAACACTATCAGACAAACTGCCCACCCTGTTCGCCAACAGGTCTGCTACTCACTTCGCACTTGGCAATTTTAATAAATGCGTGAGTATTTTTCTGAAGACTTAAATAGCCGGTTAATATTGTAAGTTCCCGTAGAAGAGAGATAGCTCAAAACTACTCAGTGGTCGCAAGCGATCACTAGATTAGTATTTAATTTATGAGTTTAATAAAATAATAATATCCCTTAATTTATTATTTGCAATCTTATGGATTTCAGTTGAATGACTGCTCTACAGCCTTGGATCTTATGAAGCCACCGTGTGAGAGTAACCGGCGCAGTCGTGCGAAGTGTATCGCCAGGCGGGCGGCCGCGCTCGCTCGTCTAGGTTACCTTAGCAAAGCCATCGACGAAATGAAAGCTGCCGGCAAACTGCTACCGGACGACGAAACCATTCAAAAAGATATTTATGACATGGAAAGAGCTTGGGAACAAAATCCCGATTCCGATTAATGAAGATGTGAAAGCAAACACAATTTTACAACAGAAACATAATATTTATTAGGAATAAAATTATAATACATTAACGAAATGCATATTGCTTTTACTCTTCAATAATAACTTTCTTGGGTAGACCAAGATTCTTAAGTAGAGCATGTGGAGAGGGGTCCCGTCCTCGGAACCTCCTGAACACCTCACTGGGATGACAACTGCCTCCCACAGCTAAGAATGTGTCTCTATATCTCTTTCCCACTTCGAAAATGTTCTGGTCACCCTTCTTGGCTTCTTCAAATGCACTGTAGATGTCCGCAGCAATCATTCTGGACCATAACCGGCAGTAGTATGCACTTCCCCACTCCTCAGAGAAAATCTTAGTAAATGAAAGGGGATGGGAATCATACTTGTCGAAAGGTAGAGCATGGTATTTGGGCCACATCTCCCTCACAATGTCTCTCCAGAAATCCTTTTTCGTGTGCAGTTCCAAGTCAAGTTTGGATAAGTACAGCTCTTTACACAAGTTGTATCCTGACATGTGGCCTCTGATGTTTTGTAGGTTCCTCACTATTTCATCAGGTAAGGGCTCATCTGTTTCGAAATGACCACTGACTGATTTGATAATCTGTGGGTCATACAGCCAGTGAGTCATCACTTGCCCACACACCTCAGCCGCATCCCATTCCACATTAGAGAGCCCAGCAACCTCCGAGTAGTTAGCCTTTGTCAGTAAATGACGAAGTGAATGACCAAATCTTTGGAACAGAATACTAACTTCATTGAACGACAGTAAAGATGGTTGACCATCTGATGGAGTTTGGAAATTAAATATTAATGCAGATAATGGAGCAGTGCCAGTTGATGTGCATTTGTTTCTGATAGCAATATGCCACCCTGCATCATCATAAATGCGAATTTTTAGATCTTTACGAGCATATGGATCCAAGTAGAAGTTAGCTACTGGATCTGTACTAGACTCATCAAACACATCATAGAATTTGACATCCTTATGCCAAGTATGGATGCCTGTTCTCTCTACAATCTGAATATTAAACAGCTTACTGCAGAGTTCAAAAAGACTATCAATAACTTTAGGCAGAGGGAAGTATTCCCGAATTTTGTCTTCATCAAAGCCATACATTGACCATTTCTGTTTTCTCTGCCAATAGGGTATGTCCCAGTGTTCTAACTTGACATCGAAACCTCTTTCCTGTGCATATCTCTGTAATAATTCAATTTCTGCATCCTGCATTGATCTGGCACTCTCTAGCAAACTGTCTAGGACATTGTTTACATTTTCCACAGACCCGGCCATTTTGGTTTCCATGCTCATATCTGCAAATGTTTCGTAGCCCAATATCATTGCTTGTTCTCTTCTTAGACTCCTTATGTTCTCTAAATTTGTGGCAGTTTCAATTTCTTTGTTTACATAACTAGAACACCTCTGTACATGTGCCTGCCAGGCGTTCCAACGGAGCTCCCTGTCAGGACAGTACTGCATAAATGGTTCATAGATATGGGGCTGTAGTGTGACTTTCCAAGGTCCTTTAGAGGGATCCGCACCCATAGCCATTGAGTATACTAACCCACTTGGAAACTCTCTCATAAGATTTGCATCTTTGATAGTACTTGTGAAGACTTTGTTCGCAACATTTACTTTATCTCTGAACATTTGTCGTTCCTGTTGTAGCCCAGCCAGGATATTGTTCAGTCTTTCTCTTTTGATGCCTTTTACATCTAGACCATTTAGTTTACCTTCTAAAATGTACTTATCCAACAATCTCTGTTCTTCATCTGTAAGTTTCTTGAGGCGGTTCTTTTCTGTGACTGCTGCTTGGAAGATAGGTATGCTGTTGAATTTTGAGGATCTTGCTTTGTGTGCTCTCTCATGTATTTGAATGTAGGACTTTGTAGGCATTAGTGAACTGTTACCGAGGTACAGTGTCTTTGCCATGCCCCAAGTAAGTTCTAATTGAGAGTCAAGTTTCTCTAATGGTTGAAATATTTCCATAAAGGCGTTTTTACAGTTTTCTGATCCATGTTCAATCTGTCTGACACCATTTTCGTATTCCAGGCTCTGTTTACTGATTGTGGCAATGCATTTTTCAATCGAAATATCATTGAACTCTGGCAAGCCGTTATCTGAGAGTAAAGTGTTCTCTGCATCCTCGCCTATTTCAGGAATACTGGAAAAATAATGTAGACAATTATAATCAAATTGAGAATCAAGTTATGGCTATAAATTTTTAAATCGGTTAGGATAGTATTTTGAGAAAATAAAATTTATTTTTCCATATACAGTATGAATTGTGCTTTTTAAGATGCAGTTTAGTGTTGTTCGTAAGGTCAACAAATCAACATCCAGGACTTGAATGTTACGTAAATAATAATGCGAATAACCCCAGGCCCCAGACTTATCAGTTTTGGGCGTTCCATTTACCCATCTGACTTAGAACAATGTGCAGAGTCAAGTTTATCATGTAAAATGGTCGTATACATTCAGGGCTTTATTATTTTCATTCAATAACTAACAATTCTTTATTTATTGGAATATTTATAATCAATGAAACTTACAGCACAACGTATCCAGCGTTTCGTTTATTTTGGTAAAGTTGTCGTTTGACATTCCGAGCGATTACACTACTACGTAAAAACGATAAAGCCATAATTATATTGTTTGTATTTAAGTTATTAGCCACTAAATAAATTACATTAGTTTCAAATTATTTCATAATCCAAATGCCGAACTCACATTCACATTGATTGTGAATTTTGTGACAGATGACAGCTGATTCTGATTGGAACATGCATAGACAATGTACAATAGACAAAATAAGTGTTTTTAACCTTCTGCGTTTGGATATTATGTATTTTGTAGGCAGATTTCGTCGAATAGGTCCGGTCTAGCAAGTTATTCGTCTTATATTTAGATTTTTGTCTATCACTATCTGCTGAACTTGTTACTAATGTAAAAAATCAATGGAAAAACAGAGTATATTATTGAAGTAAATGTTGGAAATAATTAAAAAACCAGTTAACTTTTAATACTCACTAAGTTTTGATACAGTTTTATTTTCAACGTCCTTGTATCTAATCTAACGTTATAAGAATAAACTTAAGTCTAACAAAACATAAATAACTATTTTACAATAATAAAGTCAACTTTCTCGCTGTCTTTTTCAATTACAGCAGCGATATTATCTACTAAAGAAACATTAACCATTTGACAAGAACACAGTGCATTACAAGCGTTACAAGTATTTGGTTCCAGGTTAATTTCTTTTCCTTCTTGTTTTGTATTTGTTTCTCTGACTGGCGGATTGCAGCAGAAGTCAGTATCTAGTCCCATCTTCTCTCCGTCTTCTAAAGTCTGAGGTAGATGCTGATTTAATGTTTCTGGGAGTAACAAGCTTGCTATACCTCCTGCCACAAGCAAGGCGCCCATTATAATTAAAGGAAGAACCATTATATCGGAGCCCTAAAAACGAAAGAAAGGAATTATATTACTATAGGTTAATAATCTTTAGTTAGGCCACGATGACGAATGTTAATGATACCATCTTACCAAATAATTGACGAGTGGTATAAAAATTGGGCCCAACATGCCAAGAACTGAGCTGAGACTCATGCCCAGGCCCCTGACCACTGTTGGATATAATTCTGAAGCCATCAGAGGCAGTACTACGAAGGAAGATGATATACCCATTTTTCCAACACAGTAAAGAGCTAATGTGACGTAAGTTTCTGAAAACACAAAGATTTTTAGGAAGTAGTTTTTTTAATTCTATTGGATCTTTGAAAAGAGACTCACCATGTTGTACCAAAAATGTGGTCAAACAAGCTACTCCACCGACTACCATACTCATGCATAAAGTCCACCGTCTACCCAACCTTTCCATGGAGGGCCACAGGAACAGATAGGTGGGCAACTCCACGATTCCAGCCAAAAAGAAGTTTAGAAATTCATCTCCGCCCAAAACTGGAGCATAGTATGACAAACCAACATAAACACTGGTGTTAGTAAACCATATAAAAGTGATTATGATCGTTTTCTTCCTCAAATTCGGTGTTCTGAACAAGTCCAGAATACCATATTTCCTGGTTTTCGACTTTTCAATGTCTTGTTTTATTTTATCCGTTTCGTATTTACGGTGGAGCTGCACCATGTAATTTGCTGGTAAGGATTTGCCGTTTATCCTGTGGGTCATAGTAAAATCATGTTAAAAGCAAGTACTTATTTATATAGTAGTATTCAATAAACGATTACAACACTAAGTAAATTCAGACGAGCTAACAATAAAAACGGGTTATTTCGAAACAACAAGGGAGTTCCATATCCTGGACTGACCTGGCAATATTTCTCAGAATAACTTCAGCTTTCTCGAATTCTCCTCTTGCTAGAAGCCAGCGCGGGCTTTCGGGCATTGGCCAGAGGTACAAAAAGAAGCAAACGAAGGGCAATGTTGTGGCCAAAGCGAGATGACGCCAATCCCTCACGAGGTACACCACTCCAGCGAGTAAAATTAGCCCCGTGGAGTATGCAATGTTTGATAGAATGGTACAGAGCGTCCTGCTACGCGGCCCCACCAGCTCAATTGCTAAAAGATATTTTAGTAAATTAGGCACAAAAATGATTACCTATTGAATATTTTGAATATAACGATATTTAACTTTAAAGCTCTGTAGGCAATAAGGCTGTTGATGGTGATGATGGCAATAGTGATAAGTTGATAGCAATGTAAGGAGGAAACTAGGATAGAATTTTACATGAATTATTAAATGCTATTTACATAATACAAATAAAATAATAAATACCTAAAACGTAAGGCGTAGTCATAATAGCAGGTACGGTGAAACCCACGCCAAACCTATAGATGCACCATATAACGTAATTCTGTGCGAATGCCGTGGCCACTCCAAAAATGCACTCTATGAGAAGGTAAATGAAAAAGGAAGGTTTTCTTCCGATAGTGTCCTGCAGGTAGCCGAAGATGTAGTTGCCGATAATGCCTCCGACAGCGAGTAGGACCAGGCCGAGCGTTGGGAAGAAATCTTTATGGCATACAAGGTTCCACTGTTGACAAAATTAATTAGCTTTTTCAAA